AGGGCAGTTCTGTGCAGATGTAAGGCAGTTCTGTTTGGGGGGATTGGCTGGCTATGAGCTGGGAGCAGGAATGAAAAGTTTTGGATGTTTAGGAAGCATCAAGCAGACTAACTAAGGCTTGTTCTCAAAGCACCAGGGTAGAGTTCCAAGAAATGGAGAGCAGAAGCATGCAAGACCTCTTGAAACCTAGGCTTGGAACTGGCACAACCTCACTTACACTCCCTTCTCCTGGCCAAAACAAGTTACAAGGCCAGCACAGATTGAAGGGATAGAGAAATAGACATGATGGGTGAAAGCTGCAAAGTCACATTGTAAAGGGGACATGCCTTTAGGGTGGCGTGAGAAATTGTGGCTGTTTTATTAAATTTACTGCAGAGGAATCTTGTTTATAAATATATTACTTGTAGAGGGTGAGTAGTGTTTTTAAAATCCTTATACTGCGTTATAAAAGAGTAATTTGTTCAAATGTTAAACTTTTACAAGTATGTCATTCTGATAGTCACAATGTGGCTTCAAGAGATCAATGCACATTTTTGGTGGTGATGTACTGCTTAGTTTCTGCAGCCTTCTATGATGCTGATTTTAAGGATATAAAGGGAGCAGCATTTCAGCTGCATCTCTGCTAGGGGTAATGTCCATACTGTCTTTTAAATCCTTGCTCCACACAGACCAACAAAGGAAACCACAACTGTTTCTTCTTCCCACTCAGTTTTCCATTGCCATCTTTCAAAGCTTTGCTTTCTTTTTACTTTTATCTGTCTTTTACAACAGGATCAGTGGAGTTGGTTGGCAGGAGGAGTTTTCTGTTCTCTTCTGTCTTACATAATGAAGCCTGGATATTTGTCTTAGAATCTTTCCCACTTGTATTGACCAGAAAGAAAATAAAAGAGACTATCTCATTCATTTCTTTGTGTATCACATCTTATCCTTTTATTTCCCCACTTTCTTATTTTCAAACTTACCTAACATGTTCTCCAGTTTCACATCTAATCCTTTAGGAACCACAAGAAAATTTTTAGTTCTTCTAAAAGATGATTCTCCTATTAATGCAATTATTTCTAGTTAGCTTATATAACCTTAGACCCAAATAGATTCATTAGATTTTTTTTTTCTTCATTTTTCTCTTGAGTCCTTTGCATCATCCCCATGACCCTTCCTCTTGGTTTTTCTATAGATCCCTCACAATACAAATTCAGTAAGATGAAACTAATGGCTTTCATTATTGATTCTTGAAATCTTTATGAGTTATCTTTCTAGAGTCTTGTAATTTAAAGTAAATGTTTCCTTCATTTAAATTAAAAGGGATAATTTATGTACGGTGTCTTGGAAATAGTAAGATCTCAGTAAATGTAATCTATTATTATAAATGCTTCTGCTGCTTCATAACTATTGTTATTAATTTATTTTAAAGTAAACAGTGTAGCTTTTGTATTTCTTTAAATTTATATCATTAGGCAATATAAGAAGCCATGTAGACAATATGAGAATGTATGCTAGAATATGACTATATTTTTACTTTGTAATTTTCTGGCAATTGAAATTTACTATCACTGTTGCTTTTAGAAATGTGCCAGTAATTGATGATCGTGCAAAACTAAAACCATCCTCTCAGTACTTAAGCCTTACATTTTTGAGGGATCTTAGTAGATCAAATTTATATTTTCACAAAGCTGGGTGTGCACAGTTGTTACTTAAGTTATCATTCCACGTATATTGTCTTATGGTCAGTCTTGTAAATGTATACATACCATATTTTCTCTTCTTTCTTTCCTAGACCTCAGTGACTTTCCAAACACTTTCTTCTTCTTCATTTTGCTTAATTATTTACTAATATGTCATAACAGATACATCATTTATTTAGTGAACTTCATATTTAAACCCACTTTGCAGTCCTCTTTATTGCTACAACTCATCACTCTTGCTCTTTTCCAAGCATAATATCAATATGTTTTTCCAAGACATATCCTCCTACAAAGACCACCTAAAGTTGATGTTTTCCAATTCCGTGAACTTCAGTCTTAACAACCTATTCCTGTGGAATATGGCCACTCATCCTTCCTTCCTTTCTTTTTTTCTTTCTTTCAGAAACATACACATGGACGCACACACACACACAATTTGGCGGTGAGACCCAATAAAAACTTGAGAAAGGGTGAAATTGGCTTATTACAGAATTGCCTTGGTACTTGGGTATCTGTAGTTTATCTCTTTAGCTCTGACAAAAAACCAACAAAAAACCCTGAATATTTACTGCTAGAGCATTATGTTCCTGGAATAAACTTTAAAACTGTTTTGCTTTATATAATCATGATGTGGTTGGTGGCTAGGGACCTACATTTGACTGAAAAGAGCAAACCAGAGCCATGGGTAAGACGCAAGTACCAAGATTCACTTGTCACCTGTAGACAGACCTCTCTTTCCCTTCAACTGTCATTAAGAAAAAAATACAATTGGTCTTAACCTGCTCTCTCACTTGTTAGGAGGGATAGGACAGCAAGAAGAGAAAGACATGTGGAGAGTGGGGTGTAAATAAAGCAGATAGTAGCTCCAGAGAGGGTGGGGGCAGAGCTTCACGGAAGAAAATATATGAACCTGGTGGGTACAACATAGCTTCCCCAGACCCACCCACCTACTCTTTTCAGAGCTCTGTGCTTCGGATGGCGGCGAGTGGCTGACGGCGAGTGGTGCTTTGGGAGAGAGCCAAAACCTGCAGGGCGAAATCAGGGCAGACAGACTTCACCTTCCAGTGGGTGAGCTCTCCTGACCTTCGACCAGCCTCCTATCCCCGCCACCGCCAGCCCTTCCGCCCGCTCCCGGAGGGTTTGGGGAGCGCCGGCTGGACCCGCCCCGAGCCCCATGGTTTGCCCAGCCCTGCGTGATGGTGACTCTGGCCGCGGAGGCTGGCGCCGGGCGAGCCAGCAGCTCGCAGAATGAAGGCGGGGAGCACGGCAGGGGCTGTCTCCCCGACCCCAGCGCCCAGACAAGCGGTCCAACCACCCGAACCCGGAAAACGCCAACAAGTAGTTTCTCGTCGGATAAGGGAGGCTCAGCTGGGTGTCGGGAGTCAGTCGGGCTGCCCCGGGCATCTCGTCCACTCGGAAACCGAAGCAGAGCCGCTTTTCTCTCGGTCTCGTTAAGGTATCTGGAGGTGGGAGGATGTGCGATGGTTTCCCGGGAAGGGAAGGCTGACCCTGCAGGCAGGCGTCCCCCCACCCCCACCCCAACGCCGTTCCGCAATGGCAATGTAGAGGTGAAGCCCTGGGGAGAGGTGGCTGGGAGGCTGGGGACCCGGACGCTGTCAGCCAGGACTTCTAGCTCGGGGACCCAGGGGGTGTGCCTCTGGCGGCTTCTCGCTGGGCCTCGTCCCTCCTGGAAAGCAAATCCCCTACCCTCCACCCCCAAGACGTTTGTTTTTCTTGGGAAGGGAGGGGGGATGGGTGAGATGCATTGATCACTTTTATTCTCAAAGATGGATCTTAGTTAGTGGTTTCCTTGCCTAAGTAGTAGTAATAAGAGAATACTAACAACAACAACAATGTGAAAAGGAAATTGGATCAGGAAATTAGTCAGAGGTCTCCGTGGTGAAAAGCAACAGCAGGGAAATTTTCTGCTTTCCCTTCTGTGTTCAGTCTGGTTGCCTGGTTCGTGAGGGAGAGTAGAGGTGAACCGAGAACAGGTCGCGCAAAGGGCACTCCCCGAGCGCTAGGAAGGAGCGGGCGGTCCAGGGTTGACGGAGGGTACGCGGGCAATCGGGGCTCTCCGCCGAATCCGGGGGGCTCCAACCCAGCACCGCCAAGTTGCCTTAGCGAAGAGAACTCCCAGCCAGGGGAGGAGGAGAGACTGGGGCTAGGAGGGTGGAAGAGAGGGACTCGGCGAGAGGGAGAGAAGGGGACAAGGGAGGGCAAGACAGATCTTAGGAGGGAGAGAGGGGATTTGTGGGGGAGACGGGGGGGGGCTAGGAGAATGGAAGAGAGAGGCTAGGGAGAGGGAAAGAAGGGAACTGGGGCAGAAGAGAGGAGGATTCGAGAGGAGGGGGGATTTGGGAAGGGGAGAGAGGGACTAGGGGAGGGGGAGAGAGAGTTTGAGGAGGAGAAGAGACGGGAAGAGAGGGAGTTTGGGGCTGGGAGCAGATTAGGCTTGGGTGGACGAGGGAGGGTGAGCAGAAGATGAAGGCGAGGAGAACACAGCCGAGAGAGGAGGGTGCTAGGCAGAGAAAAAGGTGTCAGGGAAGGTCAAGAACGACGTGGATTGCTATCTCCTTAGTTCTCTGGAAACCTGGGAAAGGTGTGATGCAAAAGGCGGGGACAGGGCTGGACGCTGACTCCTCCTGGGAGGGTTGTTCTCCCCTTGCCCATCTGCCAGCTCTGCATCTCAGGGCTCTTGGGCTGGCGGTGGGAGGTCGTGGGGCGGCTCCGACCACCCAGATCTTTAACTTGGCGTTGTGTTCATCTCCCTCCAGTCATGTCTGAGCCACAGAGATGGGCAAGATCGAGAGCAACGAGAGGGTGATCCTCAATGTCGGGGGCACCCGGCACGAAACTTACCGCAGCACCCTCAGGACGCTGCCCGGGACGCGCCTGGCCTTGCTTGCTGCCTCGGAGCCCCAGGGTGACTGCCTCACAGCGGCGGGCGACAAGCCACAGCCGTCGCCCCCGCCGCTCTCTCCGCAGCCGCGGGCGCCCCCGCTGCCCCCAGGACCCGGAGGCTGCTTCGAGGGCGGTGCCGGCAACTGCAGCCCCCGCGGCAGCGGCGGTGACCACCCGGTCGGCGGCCGCGAGTTCTTCTTCGACCGGCACCCGGGCGTCTTCGCTTACGTGCTCAACTACTATCGCACCGGCAAGCTGCACTGTCCAGCAGACGTGTGCGGGCCACTCTTCGAGGAGGAGCTGGCCTTCTGGGGCATAGACGAGACCGACGTGGAGCCCTGCTGCTGGATGACCTATCGGCAGCACCGCGACGCCGAGGAGGCGCTCGACATCTTCGAGACCCCCGATCTCATCGGTGGCGATCCCGGGGACGACGAGGACCTGGCGGCCAAGAGGCTGGGCATAGAAGATGCAGCGGGGCTCGGGGCGCCAGACGGCGCCGCTGGCCGCTGGAGGAGGTTGCAGCCCCGCATGTGGGCCCTCTTTGAGGACCCCTACTCGTCCAGAGCCGCCAGGGTAAGGCCAAAATTGACCCCTTCCCTGCTGCTCTAACTTCTGCCAACTCCCTTTCCAACTTGCTGTCCATTCCCACTATGGGCCTATGGGATGGGAGAGAGGGGGAGAAGAGAGCGGGGCTCCCCAGTGAGGTTAGAAGCACATCTGGTGCAGGGTAAACCCGGGAATCCTGGGCCCCATAGCACCCCATCTCCCCTTCCTGAAACTCAAACTACGTTATACTTCAGCAAATGGGACCTAGCCGGCAAACTTCAACTTCTTTGTGCCAGTCTGTCTGGGATTTTGTCCTAAAACTGGTATCATACTTCCTCCTGAGTTTTTCTTCACTCTTTTATTCCAAATTTCCTTTAGCTTGGCTGTCTCCTTGGACCTCCTGGTCATTCCGACTTGACTTGACATTTTCAGTGAGGCTTGACACTCCTTCAATCTGACTCACCCAGAACAATGGCTCCAATTAGGGATCTATTCTGAGGACAGATGAAGGGGGAAATGGAATATATGTATGAGTGTAAGGTGAGGCGGGCGAGGGGTTCATTTTTTGACTAGAATCTCCTGAATGCTGTCTGGGCCTGTCTTGAGTTGACGAGGGAGCTCACTTGTACACTGAATTTTGGAGTCCGGTGCCTTTCTCCTTGGCTTTGTCTATGTTCTGTATAGGCTGAGCATGAATTAGTCACTTTGGTGATCCTAGTTTAGTTAATTCTCTAAATTTGAGTGCTTTCAATTGTAGCAAACTTTATTTTACTCTTCAGACTGTGACCCCAGCCTTAATTTTTGTGTGTGTGTGTGTGGGGGGAAGGGGGGGTTCTAGCTTAAGTGATGGCTTAAATTTAGTTCTTTAACTTCCAATTAATTCTTCAAAATCCCAAGAAGGGAGAATAAAAGTAACTAATAGTGGTACTTCCAGTTTAAAGGAAATAAAAGAAACATAAGTTACTGAAAATTATACAGTATGTGAATGGTTTTTAATGGTATGTGAGAAAGGATTACACCTTTTCCTCACATTGACTATCTCGTTATCCGACCTTTTGCATTTACGAAACAATAGTAAAAAATCATTTTGTGTATTAACATGACCAATGGGACATATAGTGCTCACCTATTGAGTTACTGGGAAGCTGCTGCCCCACTGACAGTATGAACCTGTGTAACTATTTGAAACGGAAGGAATGGACACACCATTTTTGCATAACGCCCATTTCAAATAACCGCCTGGTCTTCGGAACCTAACCTGTTGGTAAGTGAGGAGAGGGCGTACAGTACTTAGTTAAATCTTTGCAACTGCCTGTGTCTGGTTTGTTACTGACGTCCAGAACAGACACTCCCTGGGTGTAATGGGAATTCTTCCAGCTTCACTTTGGTTCCATCTTCGTTACTGTCTTTTTCTGCACATCAGAAGTCTCTGCATCTGAGATATGGTGAGGCTGTCTACTAATGTGTTTCCAATGCTGCTGAGAACCAGGTGCTCAGAAGATGTGCTTCTGATTCCACTTTGGAAATCTAAGGAAAGGCTTTGTTTTCCGTTTGAAATAGAATGTAAAAATGACAACTTAAAGCATTACTATTTTCTTGGATTTGGTATTTAAGTGCATACATATATTGTAGCATGCTCATATTCACATATTTGAATATATAATTAATAACTTCAACTCTGAAATCTTTCTTTGAAAACCGTTCTATAAACTCAACAAGAGTTGTCATTAAGAAAACAAAAACAAGTGCATATTTATTTAAATTAAATCATAAGCTCATGACTATTATGTCTGTATTTTTTGGATTCCACCTGAGTGCCATGGTGCTCATTCCACTTAGTGGCCTAAAAGATAATCTGAGTTTGTTTTTCAGGCTCATCATGTGATTCTCTCCCCTCTCCCTGCCCCCAATTGTGTGCTATATAAAAGGCAGAATGCTTTATTATCTTTTCTCATGATAACAAAATATATTTTATTTTTAGGCCAGATTATAAAGAAAAAACTTTAAGGAGGTGATCAAGTTTTAGCATTGCTATGGAATTTCCTTCTATTGATTATTGATCAAAAGTGTAGACCATTGACTTGAAACTAGTTTTTTTTTTAAATCTTTCTTAGATTTTATTGTAATAACATTGAGGATTTGACCTGCACCCATCTTATGTGAGGACACAGATTAGGATTTATACAAGGTCAAAGAGCCACTAGAAGCAGAATCAGCTAAGAATCATAGCTCTGGGAAATTTCTTTGAGGTTACCTAGTCAAGACCTCTGATTTTGTAGCTGAGGAAACTGAAGACTGCAGATGCTCTGTGATGGCCAAGGTCATACAGCAAGTTAATAGCAGAGCCAAATTATTCCTGAGGTCTCATGACCTCCTCCCTAGTCCTTTTCCATCAGAATCACTGTTTATAACTGACTGGCTTGTGAAATCTCTGCAGATGTGTGTTGCTCTTGAGATTTAATGCAGCTTAAGACATTCACTAGAATTCTAACTTCAAAAGGTCATCTATGAGTTTTTAAAAATATATATGTATTCCATCACTTTGGCTGGTAGAATTGTTACCCTGCACCAGCCAACATTAGGATAAAACTATAGGTCTTGGATTAACTTCTTAAGCAACCCTGTTTGAACTTTCCTTTCTTATTGACCAGTCAGTATTTAATGTTTTGCTCTCTTTCAGGTAAGCTATCATAAGTGGGACTTGTCTTCAGGCGAATCCCTTTTCAAATTACTGGGAATTACCTAAGAAAGGATAACCATAAATCACCATTCTATTTAAATGTGATTTAATATTTTTACATTAACACTATTACTTCAGATGATAGCCTGATTTAATGCTATCTGCCTAGTCTGATAAACAGAAATATATTGGAAGGCCAAAGGATGAAATTTTATTTTGCATGGATATGATTCTAGGAGACATAAATCAATTTTCAAGTGGTTTGCTTCAGCTGTGGTCTTACTGCCATAAGTCTTATTCTTAATAGAAGTTAAGTATTTAAACTTTTATAAACATTCTTACTTTTTTATATTAGTCCATATTTTATTGATGGATGTGAATAATTGTAGCTGTCTAAATTCCTTTTTCAGTTTGTTATTATCTTGTTTCATATTTTTCTTTACCCTTTTCCAATACTGCAGAAATTGACTCAGTTATATATGTGTGTTGTTTCTAGCTTTCATGATCCAAAGTGACAGACTGAAACAGAAGTGATAGAAACTGGATGCTCAATTGAATTTTGCAGCCTGCCTTTTTGTCTTAGGTTGGCATATCCCACCTCCCCTTTATTGCTTTTAATTTGTAATGTAAATACATATATGAGCATTTGAGAGTTCTAAATTGTCCTAATTAATTTGATAAATAAATTTATATTTTCTACTTATGACTTAGGAATTGATATGCTTAAGGTTAGTATTTAAAAATAGATATTTATAAAAATTCAAATATAAGTTGTCATGGAAACCTGTTGTGGCAAAAACGAGATCAGGAGAGAAAAGAAGAGATTACTCCGTTGACGCCATTGAGTGGTATTTGCAAACAGTAAAAAGTAGGGATGCATAGATGTGTTTGTAAAATGTTATGCATTGTATATTTCCAATTTAATATTTCAGTTTTAGAAGCAAATGAAGTTTGTATGTGCTTTCCTCTGAAGATACTATATCATAAGTAAGTGGAAGGCAGCAGGAAGAAATTTTGATAAAACTTCTTTGAGAAGTTTTTTAGAAAAATAGTCTAAAGTTAAAGTAATAGAATCAAAATATACATAAAAAATTGTTTTCCAATATTAAAAAGCTGAGAGTAGCTATAAGTTTATCTTCCTCTTCTTTTCATTTTGCTTTGGGCAGGGGAGGTTAATTGAATTCAGTTCTGTCTTAGAGCATGTCTCTTCCTTGGTGACTTATGTATATCTTTGAGTACCTGATAGACTTTGTTTTTTTTTACTTTCAAAGAGCATTTTGGAAATGAAAAAAAAAACAAAAACCACACTTAATGTGCTGTCTTTCTGCTGTGGGTCTAGATACGTGTTTTAAAATCTTTATCGAGTATACCATAATTGTGCAGATCATTCTGAATCATATATGGGTATTAGCAAATCCATCATTTCTTAACCTAAAAGCATTCACTTTATTAGCATTTCAGATTGTTTTAGTTCCACAGCATTACTAAAATATACCTTAAAATTTAAATTTGAATGTCTAGAATTGGACTCCACTTTGCAAATTTTAAGTTATTTTTTTAAGGACTACATTTTATTCCTCTCCAAACCATGAAAGAAAACAAATAATCTAAATAAGTATTTGATGACATTATGTGTAACTTTTAAAGAAGATATAATACAGTGAGGACAAGTTGAGGTGTATGTTATATTAAAATTGAAGAAAGAAAATACATTAAATCTTGTTTCCTAAGCATTGCTTCAGTTAAAAGAATGACTGGCCAATATAGCTTGTTCATGGAGTTCCTGCTGTGGTGCAAATAGTTCATTGCTCGGCTACTAACAGAAAGGTTGGTAGTTTGAATCCACCCAGAGATTCCTCAGAAGAAAGGCCTGGAGATCTACTTCTGAAAGATCACAGCCGTTTAAAACACTATGGAGTGCAATTCTACTGGGAAACACACAGGGTCTCCATGAGTCAGAATGGACTCGATGGCACCTGGTTATAACTTATTCATAAAATATTATAATCAATTATTGAAATTTTTAGAAGATTCATTTCCTTTATTCAGTGAATATTGATTACACAATTCTATAAACCAGAAAGAGGAGCTCTGGTAGTGCAGTGGTTAAGTGCTTGGCTGCTAACCAAAAGTTTGGAGGTTTGAACCCACCAGATGCTCCATAGGAGGAAGCTGTGGCAGTGAGCTTTGGTAAAGATTACAGCCTTGGAAACCCTATGGGACAGTTCTACTCTGTCCTATAGGGTCATTATGAGTCGGAATCGACTGAATAGCAATGGTTTTCCTTTTGGTTTAAAGACCAGAAACTGTACAAGATACTGGTAATGCAAGGAGAGGATATAGTCAC